GAACACAAACGAAGATTTTTAACTCAAACCGTTGCAGTCTATCAGTTATATAATGGAAGTGAATGGGAATCACGCCTTTGAGAGTCAAAAAAACATACACAAACAAAACCAAATTAAACCCTGCGGCTCGTGACGATACATTGATGTGTAAAGACACGAAACGATCAGTCTGCAAGAAACGGAACAGTATTTATATAGTTTTTTACCTCTGATTCACCGCAATGTCCGAACTGTCCTGAGCGCGTTCGCGTCTTCTTCTTCAGCCGGCGTGTAATGCGTCGTCTTCTTCTTCTTGCTTTACGGCAGATCGTAGAATTACCGCCACCTATCTCTCAAATGGACCATTGACACTCTATCTACAATCTCAATTAGGAGTGTCAATGGCCCATTTGAGAGATAGGTGGCGGAAATGCACTTATAATTCTACGATCTGCCGTAAAGCAAGAAGAAGAGGAAGACGCGTACCGCGCCGGCTGTCGAGAACGCGCTCAGGACAATTGCGGTGAATCAGAGGTAAAAAAACTATATAAATACTGTTCAGTTTCTTGCACAGACCGGTCGTTAGTGATGGTGAGATGAAGCCTCATGAAGCATTGAAGCTTTTCAGCCAAGTGGTTTACAAAAGGGTTCAATTCTCGAGACTTCATTTGCTCACAATACCACCTGGTGGCCAAAGAGTGTAAAACAAGCAGATACATTACAGATGACATGATGTGGTCTGTGATGCACTGTATTTTGCGCCAGTTAAGGCTTAGAAATAACGGTGAAGAAAAAAAAATCAATTTCCACATAGACTAATCTGTTTATATGAATATAATGTGTATTTTCTAGTGGTATATAATGATTGTATAACATAATATAACATAACTATGTAACAAACGTATTGGCTTGAAATTAATGGGGCTATCAAATGTGTGTAAATCAAGTCTTTGCTCATAATAGGCAGGGGGGCCAATATTATTAGTCTAAAACTGGAAAGTGGCTGAGTTTAACAGGGCAGAGGACCGTGAATTTACAAGATTCGAACCACTTCCTGAACCAGTCTGGCAAAGCGAGGCTTCAGACGTCATTGCTCTAAAGCGATACAAGCCTCGATACGCGCTTCACTGAAAGCTGCCGGGATTTCTCACATGCTCCGAAGCCTCGGCACAGAACGTAACATCACTACCGGTCGTTTCATGTCTTTACACATCAATGTATCGTCACGAGCCACAGGGTTTAATTGGGTTTTGTTTGTGTATGTTTTTTTTGTCTCTCAAAGCCGTGATTCCCATTCACTTCCATTATATGACTGACAGACTGCAACGGTTTGAGTTAAAAATCTTTGTTTGTGTTCTACTGAAGAAACAAAGTCACCTACATCTTGGATGCCCTGGGGGTAGGCAGATAAACATCAAATAAAAATTTTTGGGTGAACTATCCCTTTAAATATACATTTTTGTCATTATTTATTCACCCTCATGTTATTCCAAACCTGTATGTGAACATAAGGAATTATCTCACATATACTCCAACGGTGAGGTTGGATTTCTTGCTGAAGACAGAAGGATCAATGTGGCTGTGACTCGTGCCAGACGCCAGCTTGTGGTAGTGTGCGATTCTCAGACTGTTCGAAACCATGACTTCCTCAAATCCCTAGTGGACTATATGTCTGAACATGGAGAGGTTCGTACTGCCTTTGAGTACCTGGAAGACTGTGGCACAGAATTACATCCGTGACGAAAAGGACAAACAGATCAACAGCAAAGACGCTGCGTCTACAAAACAGAAGTCCAAGAACCAAGGCAAGAAAACGGAACAAAAACAGAAGAAAAGTGCAAACAACAAAAGTAGAGGACTGAATCAGTCCAATGTTCAGCTTGACCAACATAAAAACACCAATTCACACCATCCTAAACCCAAAGATGCCGATCAGACACAAAATAAGAAACAAGAGATAAAGGAACAACTTCTGAACTTTCTGAAAGACCCAAACAAGACAGAGCTACAGTTTCCTTCCACGCTAAATTCTCATGAGCGTATGCTGGTCCATGAGCTCTCTGAAGAAATGGGTTTAAGGCATGAAAGCCATGGAGATGGGAAAAACTGTCGCATCGCTGTGTCCTGGCCCCCATTAGAACCGGACAAGTCAGTGGAGCCCGAACAACCAGACGTGACTCCATGTACAGCAGCGAAGCTACAAGATGAGTTACAGAAAGGACCCTCAAAGTCAGCTGTGGATCTGAAAAGCCTGCATTTGGAGCGAATGTGCCGGGAGCAGGAGAAACGAGATGAGAAAAAGCAGGAAAAACAACAAAGTGTGAGACGGGAACCAGATCCCAATGCAAGTAAAAGCCAGTCTGTTAAGAAACCCAAAGGAACTTCAAAAGGTTTGTGTTTTATATCCCAATTTCTGAATCGTTTCAATACTTTCATTCTGTTACACTTCATAGTCAATATGTGTTTCTTTCATAGGAAACACTAAGATAAAAGCAGGAGCCACAGATATAGCTGCAGGTGCCATGCCAGATGACGATTTTGATGCTCTCATCAATGCTGTGGTTAAAGCCGACAGCGTTTGTGGTTTTGTGAAGTGCAAAGCCAGTGTCCTGACACTAGGGCAACTCTGCCTCTACTGTAACAGACAATACTGTCTGAGTCACCATATACCTGAGGTAACTTGCTTTTTATTTTATATTACAGGATTCATATCATGAAGAACCACATTTTGCTTTATTTCTTTAAATAAGTGTTCATTATAATATGAGAGCAGACTGTAGCTTTCAGAAACATGACCTTTACAGTCATGATGTAATACAGAGCACGCTGGTTAGATGCTATTATTCATAAACACCAAACACTCAGTGCTAGAATCAAGTGGCTCAAGTTCTTTTTAACAATGATCTTGACCATTTCGAGTGCTTTTTCTCATTTCACGAGTGAAAAGGGTGTTGACATCAGAGTTTTAAAGGCTTGCTAACAAAAAATTTCAGCGTAAGGGTTGAAAATAGCCATTAAAATATATTATAAAATAATAACAAAATTTATGATATGACCTTTAAAATGTGTAAAACATTTAAACTAAAGATATTTTGATGCAAGATGCGTTTGAAATAAAGTATTGTCTTTTTTTAGGTGCACGGATGTGGAGACAAGGCAAAAGCTCAAGCTAGAATGAGGATAAGTAAAGAAGGGGTGCTTTATGCAGGAAGTGGACAGAAGGACAAATCAATAGATCCAAATAAAAAACCATATCTGCAGAGAAAACTAGACTCTAAACTCGATGATATGGCATCTCAAAGAAAAACTAAAGCCAAAGAGAACTGACATTCTAGGAGACACTAGATCAATCTGATGTTGTTTAATTTAAATGTGATGGTTATTTACTTGAAAAATATGTATAGAAAGATTTCTATGCTTTAAGTGTGGGCTTCACAAACATTTTGGTTATTATGAGTTCCTGAATAAGGCTGAGAACAGCTGCTATTTATTACAGATCCACACTGGCATGGTTAAATGGCAAACAAATCACAAATACCAGCCATACTTAATACTCCCGACTGGCATTGTGACTGAAAAGTGGATTTCTGAATGACTCTGGTTGTGCTTAAAATACCCACCCTAATGCTAGTCTGAAATCCCTGTACAAGATTTATGTCTTGTAGAATTATTGTTGGGAGCTTAAGTAGTTGCTCCACTGTGTCTCTCAGTGATTGATGCATTGATTATTATGTCATATGTGATCTCCCAGTTATCTCATAAAGCTCTGAAGAGCACAGGCAGAGCAATGCTTTGGCTTGGGTCCATTTAATGCTGGATTTAATATATTTAGTCTACATAGAGCATGTGCTCATATAGCTTGGTATATCTGTCCACAAGAGGACATAAGAGACTCGGTGGCATTGTGAGCTCAATGGATGCAGTAAGTGGAGGATTTTCACTGTGAACACATTAGAAGGAGTACTTCGGGTGACAATGTTTCTAATAGCCACAAGTCATGTGATAAAAATAAAATAAAATGTATAACAACTTTTGACAATTTGGTCTTTATGAAATGCTTTTAAATTTTACCTCAAGGCACTTGGAGCTAAAAAAAAAAATGTTAAGATTTTCTGGCAGAATGTGTCACCGAATACTAAATTAAACACATAAATGTTATTTTTGTGTTGGTTGGTTGATGTCTGGTTTGATCAGCTTTCCTTGTACAGTGCAAATTTTATGGTTGTGTCAAAAATACTTTAAAATGCGGTCTAAAGGTAATTTATAATGAAAGATTTGTGTATTCATTTAAGAGCATGGTCTGATTGAAACATTTGAGTTAACAGAATTGCAGTATTTGTAATACTGTAAGTACAGTAGTAGTAGTTTTCTTTGGCTGTCCTGTGTGACTTCCAAATGACTCAGGTAGATGATACTCTGCGCTTGAAATGCTTAGCCCTAAAATAGCTCTGCAATGTTCTGAATCAGGAATAACCATTTAGCTGAAGTAAATAGTTACAAAATGGAAATATCCTTAAAGGAATATGAAACATGCTGTGGGTTTGCATAGTTTTTCTCGTTTTACAAGAAGTGCTCAGCTAAATTTTAACTAAAGTGTAAACTTTGTGTGTGTGTGTGTAATGATGCATGACCATAGCATAAAAAATGAGTTTAGTATAAAAAAGTGAGTGAGTCAACAAATGTTTCAACAGATGTAATCACAATTTTAAATACTGGCAAAAACAGGTAAGCTTCCAAAACTCAAACATAATAATATACATACTAATATAATTTATGCTGATTTAAGTGGATGGTACAAAAATACTGTATTACAGCAATGTGAAATTAATAATAATCACCTTTAACAAGTAATTGTAAATGAAAAGTCTAGCTACAAATTTACTTCATCTTTGTATTAATTAATTAAAAAAAAAATTATTTATTTATTTGGCTTTAATTTTGGGTGAAATGTGACCTGCACACTTTTTTATTTTTAGAAATTCACAGATAAATTAATGTTTTGTAGTTGTTGCATTTTCAAATTAATGTACTGTTTTTGTGCCCCATGCATTAAAATGCACAGATTCTAAGTGTGCTCCCCTCCTTTATCCCAGTGGCAAAATAAGGAAAGATTCTCTCAGTAAACTTATCTTTAAATGTGTAAATACTGCCACCATCTGCAGCGTCAGAAAAGGAAACCTTTCCTTTATCATAGTCCAGTTCAACTGTGATTATCTGTAGGGGTTTTTTCAGGGTTAGTCGTGTGCGGGGAGAGCTCTGAGCCCAGTAGGATTCCTCGTTGTTTGAAATGACCCAGAAACCCTCTTTTGGGTTGAGAAAAACTGCAGTCTTCCTCTTTATTGACTCTCGTGCCACCCCAACGTACCACTCTTTGCTGTATGCCACCTCTACATGCCAGCGCTGCTTTCCTGAATCGAAGCTGTTAGCAGCGAGTACTGCCATGCGGCTCGTGCAGCGTTCAGGGTTATCAGGAAGCTGCTGTTTTTTCCCATAGCTGATGGTGGTGAGTTCATCTTTGACGATCAAGTTAGGGTGTGCCGTGTTTGGATCGAAATTGACAGAGGCTGGAAAGATAACAGAAAGCAAAACCTCCTCTCATGATTTTGCATAGACCTAGCAGTGTAGTGATTACTAATTATTTTAGAAGGAACTGTAAAGAATCTGTTGTAAATTATAAATGATATTTACACATTTAAACACTGAAACACATCTTAAGATGTCAAGTTTGAATACAGGAAAATGCTAATGAGATTTGAGAGCTATGACACAAAGATATTATATTTAAAATACTTGAAATATAGTGCAAAAGTCGTATGGATTAGCCCCTGGTCCCTATAACCTACTTTTGTAAAGAAAGGGGTAGTTTGGGGACAATTATGCTAATCACCTCATTTTATGCTACATGTGAGAAATAAAAAGTCATACTGAGTACATCGTGAGTAAATGATGACAGAATTGTCATTTTTGGGTGAACTCGTGTTATAAAGGACTTGATTGTGTACTTACAGTGGTGTACATCTCTTTCCATTCTTTTCCAGACCCCGTGCTTTAATGATCCAAGGTACTGAAGCACATCTATAAGTGCCTTTTTTGGATATTCTGTTTCAGGAGCAGTGTTGCTAGTCCTGTAATAAAATCATTATTTGTTTAATTATTTTTGCGTGAAAAGAAAAAACGGACAGACTGCTTATACTAAAACTTTAAATTAAAAACCATTGTGTACAGTACCGTTTTATTGCCTCCTTACATTCCTGTAGGTAGAGAAAATGTAAAGGTATTGGCATAATTGTAATAATTTGAAACATGCTTACTTTATTTCTTTCTTTCAGATAAGGCCAAATAGGGAACATTAAAGGTTTTGAAATGCTGTGCACAAAATTATACTTATCCTAATCACTGAAGTGAAGTGTATGTTTAGTCAATCAGGAGACATTTAATGCTTTACCTGTCAATCATTTTGTGCGTACATATAGCAGTCCATATAGGGCAACCAACAGCTTGGAGATTTTATGATATTATAGGATGCAAAATAGGCTATTCACGATTTCTTACATCAACAACGGCTTAGGGCTGGTCACACAGTGTCCCAGGGGTTTGCGTTTAAAAAATGTAAGATAAAGCACTAATGAAAAAGAACAGCTCATGCGCGAGACATAAAAAAAACAGAAAGACTCGACGCATGTTTACATCGAAAAACAATTTAAAAACAGCACAATTAAAACACGTTGTGTGTGAACCAGCTGTTACACAGCCAAACATGATAAAGGAATACAAAGACAAAGGAAAATAAGAAGACCAATGCAGTGAGCTAAGGTAAAGTTGCCAACGGCTAACATGGCTCACAGTACCTTTACGTAAAAATAATGTTTTAAAAGCACATTGACCTTTGAGACATAAAAAAAACAGAAAGACTCGACGCATGTTTACATCGAAAAACAATTTAAAAACAGCACAATTAAAACGCGTTGTGTGTGAACCAGCTGTTACACAGCCAAACATGATAAAGGAATACAAAGACAAAGGAAAATAAGACCAATGCAGTGAGCTAAGGTAAAGTTGCCAACGGCTAACATGGCTCACAGTACCTTTACGTAAAAATAATGTTTTAAAAGCACATTGACCTTTAAAAATGTCAGATCATCCGCTATTATGATGGGAAAAAAAAAATATTTTTCACATTTTTTGTCCATTCAACAAAAGAAATGAATTCAGCTGTTATCAGAAATGTAGTAATGTTGTGTGTACTGTATAAGATTCTTATTAAAATACATAAATAATTGTCATATAAATAATTAACAAAATGCATAATTGGTCAAGTTAATAAGTTGAACACATGCCTCTGTTACTTCAGAATATTACAGTTCACTAACAGGAGGCAGTTAAGAGACATTTGAGTTTACTACAAGCTCAAAACAAACCTCAAACAGAACAGCATCTTTCAGCATATCTTATACCGCTGACAGAGAACAACTTTATCTTTTTAAAATTACATTGATTGTAGCATTCATTAATTATTTACACAATCTAAAGAAATTGATTAGGGCTTGAAACTTGATTGAAAATCACTTAGAAGGTTATAAATGATTTAAATATACATGTTCTGTTCAGCTGTGATAATAGAACAATAATGTCCATTAGGAAACCATGTGATATGTAAAGCTCTCACCTTGTTGATGAATATCCTCACTGACAGGATAGCAATGCTGCATGGTCCAATCAAAGGCTGTTTTTCTGTCTTAAACCAATGCAGTATAATAAAGTCAGTTCAGTGTAATATCTGTTGTCTTTCATGACGTCTCTGTGTTAAACTATTAATCCATGTCCTGTCATTTCCACATTATTCCCAGTTGCCATAAAGACAGGATGGAAATACCGGAAACCGTCCTTTTGTCCAGTTAGAAAGCTTCCTGAAAGAAGGCCCTGGAACTTCTGCTCCCAGACGGGTCACTGTGATGGGATTCTGCCATTTTGTCCAAGGCAGGAGTGCAAATCTCATACAAAACCCAGCTTCACTGAAGAACGATGGCATTTTGGGCAGCCCTTTGTGCCGTTTGTCTGCAGACACCTGCATGTGTGAAAAGAACATAGTGAGCGACATAGATAGCTGGTGGCTACAGAGAGTAATAAACACACAAATACATACTTGAGGTGGAAAATGTGAGAGCAGGGCAAAGCCTGCAGCTGCTGGTTCCTCTCTCCGATAGACTCCCCACACATGCCACAGTAGAGCTCTAGCTCTTCCACACACTGCAGGAACTTCACCACCTGCTCTCTCAACTCATCCTGCTGCTCCTTACAGCGGTAGATGCCTTCACACAGACTGTGCACCTTCAGGATACACAGCTGGCAGAGAAGTGCACAGAGAGAGTCAAATACAATGCTAATGCTAATACTATTAGAGAACATCTTCTGATGTCATTAAAGCTCCACTGCTTCAGAAGCAGTGTTGAAAATGAGATGTTTGTCTCTTATTCTAAAACAGATTCTGAAATCACCTTGTTTCCAATCGCCTCGGCCAGATCATGCGCTCTTTGCAATGAGTCCAAAGCCTGTGACAGTATTCAAATTAAAAAGAAATAATAAATAAACCATTGCCATTTAATATTTGTGACCTTGGACCACAAAACCAGTCATAAGGGTCAATAGTTCAAAATTGAGATTGAGATAATCTGAAAGCTGAATAAATAAGCTTCCATTGATGTATGGTTTGTTAGGATAGACAATATTTGGTTGAGATACAACTATTTAAAAATCTGGAATCTGAGGGTGCAAAAAAATCTAAATACAGAGAAAATGCCTTTAACGTTGTCCAACTGTCTTCGTGGAACATGATCTTTACTTAATATCCTAATGATTTTTGGCATAATAGAAAAATCTATAATTTTGACCCATACAATGTTTTTATGGCTATTGCTGAAAATATACCCAAGCGACTTAAGACTGGTTTTGTGGTCCAGGGTCACATACTGTATATAAAATGTACAACTAGACAATAAAGGAAATAAAGTTGAAGTTGAAAGTTTTCAAAAGGGGCTTTCATTGCCATGCAAAAGATGAACCATTGTGGGTTCCCCAAATAACATTTCTGTGAATAGTTCTTAAAACAGCCATTTTCTTTTTATTAGTGTGAAGAATATATTTATTTGCTTCTTCATTGAATGATAGATGCCAATAAATAATCTTTATTTTTAGGGAAACTACACAATCAAATCAGTTTCCTGACCTTATCGTATTCCTTCTGCAGAATCCAGCACTTCCCCACACCTACGTAGATGGATGCTTGTCCAAGGCGGTTGCCGATCTCTGACATTATGCACATGGAGGACTCGTAGCGAGGGAATGCTTTCTGTATTAAAGGTGAGCACACAAAGAAAATAATTATTGCTATAAGCAACACTTATGACACTCTTGGTCAACTATTTTGCAATAGAATAATATTATTAATAATATTTTTCGATTAGATAATTAATCGAAAAATAATCTTGGTTATGGCTGTTGCAATTCATTTTTAAGTGTGTTGAGTACATAATGCATATTTAGTTTTTGCATCATTGAACATTGGAGCTAATTACAGACAGCTTGTTTCAAATGTGTAATAAGAAATAATTGACAATTATGAGTTTGGTCATAACTGTGAAGCACTATTCTGCAATACTGTGTAAGTGAAACAGTGAAAAAAATTGTACAACAGTTATGTGCTAAATGCACTAGTAATAGCAATACACTGGAAAAAAAAAGCAGTAGAACTTACATCAACATCTTTCTGACAGCGATGAATATCAGCAAAGTTAAGCAGACACAATGCCTGAAGGGGCCGATCTCCATGCTGCAGTGCAATCTTCATTGATTCCTGAGAGACATAAGATCATTTCCAATATTAAGGAAACATGTATAAGTGTTGTCCTGTCCTCCACAGCAAACATTTCTTTTAAATTGTAATAATATTTCACAATATTACTCTATTTTTGAAAAAATAATTGCAGCCTTGATGAGAATAAGAGGGTACTTAAAAAAAAAAATCATAATTATTCCAAAAATTATCGGTAGTGTATGAACCAACAACCCCCATTCATACAATATTCAAAACTGAGAAGTTGCGCAACAGCTGGAACATGGCCTGCATTAATCCTCGCTGTTAGATGTCTGTATATCACACTTGCAGACAGCACATTGTGACGCTCACAGTCCAAAGCAATGACTGGCTGTGATATTTCTCTCCTCGTCATTAGCAAGGAGCTAAGGGTAAGCTCTGCTCTCCATTAACACTCCTCTCAGACAGCACCTCAACAGGATGGACTCCGGACTGGCGTATTTTTATCAGCCATATAGTAAAGGGGGCTGGCACAACTAGTCCTACAAATAACTGCACCTGTCAGTTGTGCCGTGGCCCGAGCAGCAGACAGAGGCCAGGGTTACACCAAGGGGACTGATAAATATGATCAACATGCGGCATCCTGGGGGATTAAGGTGATGCTGCCTTAAATTTGTCCAGCTGACCATTGACACAAGTTGTTTCCACATAAAAATTGCCTTATTTGTTTTTGGTGCACCTACTTTAGTCATTTAAAAATGGTTGATGTATCATAATTAGATGCTTGTACCTCACAGCATTCCATTGCATCTGCTAAGCGCAGCAGCTTCCTGTAGGCCACCGACATATGGTACTGGCTCATGGCACGGTACTTGAGACTCCAACCCTTACCATAGTCATTCACGAGTTCCGCTGCTTTGCAAGGAAAGAAGAGTGCTTTCTCATAATCCTGCAACAACGCAAAATATGCAGATATGGACACTTATTAGAAGCATAAAACAAGCTGTACATAAAGCATAGGAACTTGTATTATGTATGGTCTTTAAAGAATGTTGATACAAAACAGCAACCAAATATAAGAAAACATTTCCACAAGTTACTCCACAAAGTCTGACTGATGCATTTACTGGTATGATATTTCAAGTCAAAGCATAGATGCGTAATTTAAACAATTACAATTAAATACATATGAATATGAAAGAGTATGTACAGTAAATGAGAATGCTCAAAGAAACCAACCACTCAAAGTTGATAATTTCCCCTGTGGCAGGGAGATTTAGCTCTGCTACAGCTAAAAGAGGCTGTCTTATTATTGCCCCTAGTAGTGCTGACATTCTCCGCATGCCTCTCCATCACATACTTATTACAGCAGGCCTTCCAGGGGATTTGCTCTCTTCAAATCTCTGGTGTCAAGGTGAGTACAAATGCCTATATCTAGCCATTGAATACATTGTACATAACATGTAGGCAGTTTGTTAGTAATGTAAACACTGCTTTACTCTGTCACTTAAATAGAACTTAAAATGACTGCAGGCCAAAGGAACATTAAACAAATACTTTGTATACAGTATACAATGACTTTGACAGATACTGTAAATATATACACTACAGTTCAAAAGTTTAGGGCCTGAAAGCTTTTTTTTAATTAATACTTTTATTTAGCAAGGATGCATTAAATTGATCAAAAGTCACAGTAAAGGGTTTTACATTGTTTCAAATGATTTCTATTTCAAATAAATGCTGTTCTTTTAAACTTTGTTCATCAAAATCACTGTGAAATTTTCAACAGTGATCACTAAATCAGAATGGTTTCTGAAGGATAATGTGACACTGAAGACTGGAGTAATGGTTGCTGAAAATTCAGCTTTGCCATCACAAGAATAAATTACATTTTACAATATATTGAAACAGAAAGCAGTTGACGAGAAACCTTTTGAACAAATAAATGCAGCCATGACACTTTAGAAAGAGACTTCTTTCTAAAACATGAAAAAAATCTTCCCGACCCCAGACTTTTGAACGGTAGTACCAGCATACTGCTAGATCTCATGATCTTAAAAACTGATATAAAAAACCGTTAAAACTATTTATTTATATGAATTTAGTTGATAGTGAAGGAAAAGTAGCCAACAAGTGCCCATCATACTTGTGATCTCCTTCAATACTGTTTAAAAAGCATCCTAAAACGCACCTAATTAATTTGGTTAAGAGAATGTGTGTACAGAGATGTAATCCAGACAGAATTGTGACAGATTTTAAAGAAGCTTAAGTATAAGATTTGTAATGTTATTTCTGTGGTGTGATGACTTGAGTAGGTGTGCCACAAGCACAAAAAGTG